GCCGTCGTCATCGTCATCAGCAGCAGCATCCTCATCATTACAATCATCAGCACAACATCAGTATCATCATCAGCATCATCATCATCAGAATCATCATCAGCAGCATCATCAGTATCATCAGCAACAGATTCATCATCAGAATCGTCATCATCACAGCATCATCATCATCATTATCAGCATCATCATCAGCAGCATCATCATCGTGCCCGTCGTCGCCGTAGTCATAATCATCATCATCCTCCTCATAACCATCCTTATTACAAGTATCATCATCTTCATCATCTTCATCAGCTTCATCAGCATCATCAGCATCATCATGCTCGTCGTCGTCATCATCATCACCAACCTCAATCAACATCAGCCTCAGTCAACATGAACCTTAAGTACGACATCAACCTAGAACTCATCCTCATCCTCCTCCTCCTCAACATCATTATCCTCATCATCATCAACCTTATCGTCTTCTTCAAGCTATGATGATTGTCATGTGTCTTCCGCTGTAACTTCCTCTGTTTTGCCCTGCACGGCCTGCACGGAGCACCAGCACAACCCAGAGCATCGTCAAGAATACCCCCTTCTGGGGTTCGGTGGGATTTGAAACTCTAAGTGCTAAGAATGACCGGGGAACAAACGAAAGATGCCCCTCCGCACCAAAACTGTATACGAAGCCTGATATGACTTGTGACACAAAGAATACGGTATGACCGCATGCGGAATGACACCTGATCTGGTGTGATACTACAAGCAGCATGAGATGCACTTGGAATGTGAGCGTGCACTCCTGCCGAGAGGCGAAGGAGTCAGCCGACCTGCACACGGGGAGAAACACCGGGCAGGACATAAACGGATGGAAACAGCTGATGGAAACCAGCCCGGGTCTCGAAGACGTCCGAACGCTCCCGGAGACATCCATAACTCCGACTGAGCGTGGCCGTCGCTCGACCGCCGCACCCCCGGCGCGGCACACCCACGCGGGCCTTGGTCAGCGCCTTGGTGGTGCTGCTCTTGGCGGTGGCCTTCGCCTGGAAGCCAGGACGAGGACAAAATCGTGTGATGGCATATCGAGAATCTTTGAGAGCCAGCGGTTCTGGAAGATGGCTCGGGCACCGCGACCGTCTCAGAGCCTTCCAGAACGCGCTAAGAGCGATCCCTGAGCATCGTTTATCCAATCCCCATCCCCAGCGGCGTGGCCTGGGCCCCACTGGCCGATTTGCCCCCCTAGATGGGGATATAGGCCGTTCCCTTCGGGTTTCGACGGGTGTATCCCCAACTGGGGGGGTTATTTGTGGGGGTCTCGAAGGGCATGGGGACGGGGATGGGGGCCGGATTAACGATACTGAGTCCCGGACACTCTGGCACAGACTTATCCTCGGCCCAGCCCCGTCCGAGTCGTGGCCGGCACGCTGGGTGGCTGCTGGGAGGCCTCCCAGGCGCGGCCGGCCGGCCAGAGTCGCAGCGGCGGCTGGGTGTCGACGCGTTTCCCCCTAACCTTAGCTCGGGCGTGTCCCCCTGCAGGGGGATTTGGGCGAAAATTTCAAAATACTCAAATACGCTTCAAAAATGATTACAAATAATCAAAAGATCGTCCCCAGACTATGCTTAAACTATTTTTGAATATTCCCTCCTGTAGAAGGAAAAGGCCCGACTTAACCCTAACCCTGCCCCCCTCAAATCCCTACCCAACAGCAGGGGGTATGCAGAACCTTCGTGGTGTCGTGGAATGGGCCAAAAATGTGGGGCCCAACCCTGGGATATACGATGGGGGGCGGCCATCCTCGATCGGGGTGCGTCCGAATAGCCCCCTTGGGGTGTGCGGCCAAACTTTTCGGGCAGGACTCGGGGATTGGGGGACAGAAATCGCCAGTGAGTGATCCCTACGTAACGTTGCTACTGATCACAGTCGGCGGAGCGCCCAGTCGTTCTCGGAATATGGACATGGACCTAACGATTCTTGAGGGAAATGGGTCTTGGGCCCCAGGTCGGGTGTTGCTAAAGATGCCCCCTGGCTCCAGATGCCCCCAGCTTTTGGCACCGTTTTGGAGCCCCATGGGGCCCTTTGGGCCTCGTGAGGGGTCCTCTGGAGGCCGCGGGGGCCTCCTTGGGATTCCTGGGGGCACCTTGGGCCAGGGGCACTTCAAGCAACTCCCGATCAGGCCAGGGCCTTCCGCCGGGACCAGCTTCGGGGTGGCGCAAAGGTTGGGTGGGGGCAGAGGTGGGGTTAGAGAGGGAACTGTAAGCATCCAACTGGGCTCGTTCCCTAATCCCATCTTGGGGTGACCCCCCCTCTGCGAACCCCCGAACTTGCCATCGCTCGGACGTCCAGCCCATTCCCCGTGCATTTTTCGATTTCGTTTCCAGGATGCTCCTCAATGGTCCCCACCGGTAACAGTCGGGGATGGACAGCACCCCCTTTAGTAAAACGTGGCTTTGTGAAAACGACCCGCCGGGCCTAAGCCCGGCGGGCGCAAGCCTGGAAAATGACGGCCGCGGCACCCCCTCGAGAACCGAAAACGGACAATTCACTGATCGGCGTGTCATGATCTTGGGTGACCCAAAAGGGGGCCCAGCTGAAAGGGGGTGGTGTAAATATATTTGGGGCAATTGTATTGCAAATGTATTGCGCCGGAGAATTGTATTGCATTGTATTGCAAGTAAGGTATTGCACGCGAAAATCCAGCAATACAGTTGCGCCCCGGAATGTATTGCACGCCCCAAATGTACTGCAACCCCACAGATCTACTGCACCAAATCTATTGCACCACCCCCTTGTCGCTGGACCCCCTTTTGGGACAACCCGAAGGGTGGGGGCGCTGTCCGCCCCCGAAAAAAGCGCACACGTCCGAGCGATGCCAAGCGGCAGCCCTTCCTCCCGGACTGCTCGTGGACGGCCCCCCTCGGGGAGCGCCCCGCGGGAGCCCCGGGAGCAGCGACGGAGCCCATGAGGGGCCCGTCTCCCCCCGGACACCCGTCTGCCCCACGGCGAGGACGGGAGCGCCCTGGGAGGGGGCCGTTGGGACCTCCTTCGAGCGACGAAGGCCTGCTCCCCCTCCCCCTCCTCCTCCTCCTCCTCCTCCTCCTCCTCTCCTCTCCTCCTCCCTCCTCCTCCTCCTCCTCCTCCTCCTCCTCCTCCTCCTCCTCCTCCTCCTCCTCCTCCTCCTACTTCCCCCTCCTCCTCCTCGTCCTCCTCCTCCTCCTACTTCCCCCTGCTCCTCCTCGTCCTCCTCCTCCTCCTACTTCCCCCTGCTCCTCCTCGTCCTCCTCCTCCTCCTCCTCCTCCTCCCCCGTGAACAAGAGGGAGGAAGGCGGCCGCGGGGCACGGCACGAGGCATACCCAGACCCCCCTCGCGTGGCGGAAAAACCACGACGGGGGGGAGGGTCGCTGCGTTCGGCCTCCGGGGGGGCGGGGGCCCTCGCTGGGCCTCGGGACTGTCTAAAGAAACGCCTCGGGACGGAAAACCGGCCCCGGGGCAGGGGTCGAGACCTCTGGGGGTCGACGACGCGAAAACTCACGGCGTCGGGGGTCTTGGTGGGTGGAGACATCTGAACCCTACCCCCACCAACCCTCGATTCTGCTGGACCGAGGGGACCAATGGAGGGCAGAGGTAGGGTTCGGACTTCGCCACGTGCTCCTCCTCCTCCTCCTCCTCCTCCTCCTCCTCCTCCTCCTCCTCCTCCTCCTCCTCCTCCTCCTCCTCCTCCTCGTCCTCCTCCTCCTCGTCCTCCTCCTCCTCCTCCTCCTCCTCGTCCTCCTCCTCCTCCTCCTCCTCCCGCCGCCCATCGAGTTTCCTGAATCGTTGATCGTCGAGGGCAGGGTTCGGATTTGGCCACCGAAGACAGGAAGCTACGACCTCATGACAGGGTCGATCCTTACTGAAGCGCGCCCTGGGCGACCCAACACTCCAAGTGAAGAGCAGCCTCTTGTCAGCGGGCCAGTGCACGCCACCCAGCTTGGGAGCGTCATCGAAAGCCGTGCGATGCAAATTGGCCCCGATGCACTCGGCAGGAACTTCCGAGAAAGAAAACAGCCTCGCAATGGGAGAAGGAGGAGGAGGAGGAGGAGGAGCTTGCCTGCTAAGGGTTCTGAATGACGCTCTTTCTACGCCCGACGAAGGAGCCCGGGGCCCAAACATCCATGGCCCCTTGTGGCCCCCTTCCTGGGCCCCCGATCGTGGCCCCTCTGCGCGTACCTGCGAGGGAAAGGGCTCCCGAGGTGACCAGCGCCAGGACCCGGGGGCCCGGGGACCCAGGAGTGACCCAGGGGGCCAAAGACGAAAAAAAAACTCGTGACCATTTTTTCCCTCCGGGGCGGGCGGCACTGGGGGGTGACCCAAATTAGGGGTGGAGCAGAAGGGCCCCTTCAGGGTCCTGTTCTTTACCCCCCGTTTGGGCCACCCCCCCATGAACACCCGCCCGACCCTCAGGAACAACGTTTGGCGGCGCGCACAAGGAGGTGGAGGGAGGGGGGAGGGCTTCTTAGAAGGAGGCTGCATCTTAGAAGGCGCCGGCTTTCCATCTATAGATAAGGCCCGCGCCTTCTAAGACGCAGGGGTGCTTCTAAGAAGCCCTCGTCCTCCCCCCACCCTACTCTGCGCGTGGCTGAAACGTCTCTCACTGTATCCCTGAAAATGAGCCCTGGACGTCTCTTAGGGGTGCGTTCTGGCAAGCACTCGGAAGCTGAATCCCGCCGAGTCGACGCGGAGCCCGTCGGAGACCCACGGAGGGCCAACAGCATCCACCGAAAGCCGCGATCTCGACCCTCGGTGCCTCGATCCTCGGTCTCCCAGAACCCTCGGCTTTCCCTCGGGGCGCTTCCGCCTCATGATACCCGGGCGCCCGACGGGTCGCTCTCTTCAAGCTGATCTCGACCCTCTCGATGCCTCGATCCTCGGTATCCAAGAACCCTCGGTTTCCCTCGGGACGCTTCCGCCCCATAATACCAGGGCACCCGACGGGTCGCTCTTTTCAATCCGGTCTCGGCCCTCGATGCCTCGATCCTCGGCCTCCAAGAGCACGTTTGTGTATGTTCGGCGATGACGGGCGTCATGTGGGGGGGGGGAGGGGGCGAGGCGGGGGGTATGACGTAACGCCCACACCCCCGCAGTGTGGCTCCAGCACCGCAGCCGCGCCCGCGCGCGCGACGCGACGTGCGACGAGCGACGAGCGACGACGACGACGACGACGACGACGACGACGACGACGACGACGACGACGCGAGCAGCATGTAGGTGGCGATATGCCCCACTGCGCCTGTGTACACCACAACGCTCGCGTGCACCACAGCCCGTGCATACCACAGCGCCTGCGTACACCGCAACAACCGTGCGCAAGGCAGCGCCAATGTATACCACAGTGCTTGCGTATACTACAGCGCCGGTGTACATGTGTACACCGCAGCTACCATGTGCAACACAACGCCTGTGTACACCACAATGTTTGCGTGCACCGCAGCGCCTGCGCTCGCCACAGCGCGCGTCCACACCACAACATCCGCGTGCAACGCAGCGGTGGTGTATACCACAATGCCTGCGTGCATAGGACAGGTAGAAAGCATCTACGTGAGGATCTGCTGCGGACAACTAGACGCCACGCCAAGAAAGTGCTGATAATCGAATGCGGCGTTGCGACGTTCTTCCCTCGTCCTTCCTCCTCCACCTCCACCACCTCCTCCTCCTCCTCCTCCTTTTCCTGCTCCTCCTCCTCCTCACCCCCTGTCGTGCGGGTTGGCGCTACAGCGCACGTGCGCATCTCAGCGCGCACCGCAGAATGGTCTATTGAATCGGTCCACTTAGTTCTCGGACGGCCAATTTAGCTGGAGCCTCCTGGGCGCACATGGGAGGAGTTAGGGTGATGCGGGCGGGCTCGGGAGGATTCGTAGATTCCAGCGGAGCTCCGTTGTCCATAAAGATTAGTTTCTAATGTTTATGTGGAATCCACAAGCGCTCCATTTTGTCATAAGGACTCGTTCTAACATTCTATATACAACAGTGGTGCTGTATTGCACACGGTTGCTGTGGTGCACACAAGCGCCGTGATGTTCACAGGCATTGCAATGCACGCAGGCATTGTGGTGTACACTGGTGCTGTGTTGCACAAAGCTAATGTGGTGTACGCAAGCGCTGTGGTGTGCATAAGAGGCCGTCATGCCCGCAGGCACGGTGGCACAAACTGACGCTGTGCTGCACACGGCCGCTGTGGTGTACATCGGCGGCGCGGTGTACACAGGCGCTGTGGTGCACGCAGGCACTGTGGTGTGCACAGGCGTTGCAGTGCAAATCGCCACCTACATGCTGGCGCTACCCGTCCTCCGTCGGCCCTAGGCACTCCCAAACGCCGCCGGCGCGGAACGTGACGTCATCGACCCCCTCCATCCCCCCCTAGATGATTGCCGTCATCGACACGGAAAAAAAAACAGGCTTCAGCCGCGCCCGCGCGCACGACGACTATGAGCGACGAGCGACAAGCCACGAGCGACAACGACGACGATCACGACGACGACGACGACGACGACGACGACGACGACGACAACGATTTCGGACCAGACTCCTACGCGGATTCCTACGCGGACACCTACGCGGATCCCAATGCGCACGGCGGCAGTGCCCGGAGCGCACTGGGGGGGGGAGCGTTACGTCATGGGGGGGGGGCGGGAGCGGGGGCCATGACGCCCGTCATGCCCCAAGCACTAAAGAAAAGGGCTCCAAGAATCCTCGGCTCCCATCAGGACGCTTCCGCCTCATGACGGCAGGGCACACGACGGGTCGCTCTTCTCAAGCTGATCTCGGCCCTCGATGCCCAGATCCTCGGCCCAAGAGCCCTCGGCCACCCTCGGGGCGCTTCCACTGCATGATGCCAGCCAGGGGCATCCGACGGGTCGTGCTTTTCAAACTCCGCGGAGTTCACTCATTTATTTCAACGTATTTCATTTTATTATTATTATACTTTTTCTTCGTAAAATAAAAATAACATGAAATAACTAAAAATGAATGAGAAAAATTTAGGGGGCTCGCCCCTCGCGTAGGTATAGCTTCTCGGCCTGGAGCCCGTGTCGGATGGCCCGCGGTCCCCAACAAGCGCCCACCCTGGAGACCGAGATGGACGAGAACGCCTGGACTGCAAAACAAAACAGCTCGCCCGAAGTCCAGGCACGGCGGGTTCGTGTGGGGCACGGCCGGCCCTCTGGCTCTCGACGCCGCGCAGAGCGTCCCACGGTGGATGGTTTGGCGGCTCCTCGCTCGCCACAACACTCCATATCAACATCGGCCTGGTCGCTGACGGCGTTCAACCTTGAACGCCAGCGGTGGGTCGCCGCCGCGTCGACACGGCGCGGACCTGCCGCTCTGCGAGGCGGAGATGCATCCAGAACCACCGCCTGGGGAATCTACCTGCGGGGACTTCTGCTGGCGGCATGTGTGGATCCCTTCGCCCCCCCCCCCCCCCCCCAGAGCCCGAAGGTGTCCATGTCCACCGCCTGCCGAGGTTCCCGAAGATCGAGCTGCCAGACAGCGGTTACGAGTGACCCCCCGCCTCAGCTGCAATCGCAGAACACCACGCCCCCCCCACGCAGAGGCGTTCTCGCAATCTGATCGCGTCGGCAAAGCATCGGGCGGCACACGCGAATCGTCCCGAGAATCGCCTCGACACGGGACCGCCGCGCCCCGCTCAGGCTTGCCCCCGCCGATGCTCTGGCGAATCGAGCCGAGCCGAAAATCGCAAGTCGCGGCTCCAGCCGGCGAATCGAATCGGATCGAATCGGATCGCGTAGGCGCCTCCCCGCCCCTAGGGCGACGAGATCTATAGATATGTACTGCTCCCTGGCCACGCCCCTCCGTAACCCCAGCATCTGTGTATAATTACGCCCTCCTGGCCAAGCCAGGAGGGCGTGGCGTAGACACCGCTGCTGGGTTCAGGATGAGAGTGGCCAGGGAGCTGTGGATCTGTATAAATCTCGTCGCCCTCCCCACTGGTCACGCCCCGATAAATTAGTTTTCGGGTCACAACTCGGCTCTCCAGCGGCCGTTCGGGACGATCCGGGCACCCCTGGAACGCTCTCGGCGAGGCACAGCTGCTGGAGAGCATCCCAGGGCTGGCCAACCGAAGAGACCCTACGAAAATCGGGGGCGCGCAAACATGGATTAGCGATCCATGGATTTGGCGCGCGGTCGCCAAATCCATGGATCGGGGGAGATGCCCTCCCCAAAATGCGGCCGGTGCCGCCTCGCTCGGCGGCGGAAATCCGCGATCTCCCATGGGAACGGGATCCGTCGCCGATCCACGCCCCCTTGATCCATGTTTGCGATCGCCTGAGAAAACGCCCGAAAGCCTCGAACCTTGAACGGTGCCCCCCCTGGTCTCCCCCCTGACTACCTACCAGACCACCCCAACCCAACCCGAAGACCCGAATTTGACCCGAATTTCGGGTTGGGGGGGGTACGGGTTCCATGTGTTTTTTCAATGTTCCCCGACCCCCCCCCCCCCACTGGAAATCGAGGATACATTTGGGCCTTCGGGTTGGGTTGGGGTGGTCTGGTGGGTGGTGACCCCCCCCCCGCCCGCGCCTTGCGCAGCCCCAGCGCGGGCGCCCAGGAGGCCGCCACCGCCGCGGCGGCTGGCAGCGCCGGGCGGAGCGCGTCGTCGCCGGAGGGCCACAGGCCCTGCTCCACCTTGGGCAGGAGGAGGAGGAGGAGGAGGAGGAGGAGGAGGAGGAGGAGGAAGAGAAGGGAGGAGGAGGAGTGGAGGTGGAGGAGAAGGAGGAGGAGAATGAGGAGGAGGAGGAGGAGGAGGAGAAAGAGGAGAAAGAGGAGAGGAGGAGGAGGAGAGAGGATGGAGGAGGGAGGAGGAGGAGGGAGGAGGGAGGAGGAGGAAGAGGGAGGAGGAGGAGGAGGAGGAGGAGGAGGGGGAGGAGGAGGAGGAGGAGGAGGAGGAGGAATGGAATGGAATGGAATGGAATGGAATGGAATGGAATGGAATGGAATGGAATGGAATGGAATGGAATGGAATGGAATGGAATGGAATGGACTGGACTGGACTGGACTGGACTGAACTGGACTGGACTGGACTGGAATGGAATGGAATGGAATGGAATGGAATGGAATGGAATGGAATGGAATGGAATGGAATGGAATGGAATGGACTGGAATGGAATGGAACGGAATGGAATGGAATGCCCGTGGGGGAAACGCACAGCACTATAAACTAAGAAACGAAAGTGGGGTAAGGACACTCAGGACTTGGGCCGAAATGGCCTACTCTGGAGGCCCCGACTAGAACTTACCCCGAGAACGAGCAGCAGATCCCTGCTCTCTGAGCAGACATCGGCGCTATCTCATCCGCCCCCAGACGCCCATCGACGCCAATCGGCGCCACAGGCAGGACTGCGGGGAAGCACCGGGCGCGCGGAGGCGCCGCGCGAAGGGAGCGGCGGGGAGGGGCCCTCCGCGCCGGCCCAAGAGGGGTGCGCGCGGGCCTCCGCAGGCCTGCGCCGGTGCCACCGTGGGCGGCCTACAGAGGAGGTCGACGCCAACACCGACAGCGGCGGTGCGCCTCCGCCGAGGGAAGGCGCTCCCGGTCTCGGCGGTGGTGGCAAGAGAGGTTGGCTCCCCAGGTTGAAGGGGCCCTGGGACACACAAAATCAACTACACACAAATAACCGGATTCCCCATATTTTCCCATGTTCTCTGGGCTTCTGTCTTCCCCCCCACTTCCCGTATTTTCTAATATTTTCCTGGCAGTCGACGATGAATTGTGTCTGTGCGTTTTTTCCCCTCCTGACAGGTGGCCTGAGGAAGTAGTACCACCAACACCGAATTCTGGGGTCGTCTTCCCCTGGTTGAGGCATGCTCGTGCGCTGGTGTCGGTGCCCACTCCCAGGCCGCCAACACCGAGAGTTGCTCCTCCCGCGGAGGGAGGGGGTGAGTCTCGTGCAGCCGATCCCCATCCCCACCAGCGTGGGCTGGGCCCCGCTGGCCGACTTGCCCCCCTAGCTGGGGATCTAGGCCGTATCCTTCGGGTTTCGAGGGGTGCATCCCCGACTGGGGGTGTAACCTGGTGGGGGCCTCGGAGGGGATGGGCAGTGGGTATGGGGATGGGTTAAGCGATACTGAGGCGGGGGAGAGGGCAGGGAGCGAGGCACTGCAGGCTTAAGTCGGGCGTGTCCCCCGACAGGCGGATTCTGGACGAAAACTAAAAAATGCTCAAAAAATACCCCCCAAATGAGCAAAAATAGTCAAAACATCGTCCCCAGACTATTTTTCACTACTTCTGAATATCACCCCTGTAGAGGAAACAGGCCCCACTTCACTGCAGGCGCTGCGGGATGTCCAGGTCCAGCTGCCGTTTGAGCGAGGGAGCCAGCGGCGCGCCGATGAGGGGGCGAGCGCGAGAGGGGGCACGCCGGCTCCGCAGGCGGCGGGGCTGCGCAGGCGCGCTGGCCTTCCGAGAATCACCTCGGGAGGCAGCCTGAGCATGTTCTTAAGGTGGAGGGGTCCAAGGACACACAAATAAATAGACACAAATGGATTCCCTATATCTTGCCCCATGTTCTGGATTTCTGTCTTCCACCCCCCCACACACTTCCCATATTTTCCCACATTTTCTAGGTAGTCCAGGATTAATTGTGTCCGTGTGTTTTTTTCTCTCCTGAATGTTCTTCAGGTGGAGGGCTCAGGGTGAAATCCATGTGGGCTTCTGCACATCGAAAACCAATGCGTCTTATGATTCACCTTCTGCAGATGCAAGCCTCAAAAATCAGTCGGAACGGCACTTCCGATCTCACGCTCTGCCCTCCGCCCAAAGAAGATGCTCGGGCAACTGCTGGGAGGTCTTCGCCGGAAGGACTAAGGAGGATTGAGCCCCATTGCTCGGCTGCTACGCCAGGTTAGGCCGCGGATTAAACGGGATTAGAAGCTGGATGAGGCGGGATATAAGCCTCAAGGGGACCACCCTTTTCCTTCGGAGACGGAGTCGAACATTTCTCGGTGGACCTCGGGCCGCCTCCGCCTCCTCCGCCTCCTCCTCCTCCTCCTCCTCCTCCTCCTCCTCCTCCTCCTCCTCCTCCTCCTCCTCCCCCTCCCCCTCCCCCTCCTCCTCCCCCTCCTCCCTCTGAGGGGGCCAGCCCCTCTGCCCCCCCCCCCTGGGCGCGTGGCCGAGAGGGGCGCAGAGGCGGGAGGAGGGCCGAAGAGGCGAGCCCGAGACGCGCCTCGGAGCCCCCAACGCACCCAGCCCGGGCGCGGGGCGCGCGTGCTGGTAGGGGGCCACGTGCGAACCCTACCCCTACCCCCCAGGATTTCCGGGGGGGGGGGGGTCACTTCGCTCGGGAGCTCCCGAAGGAAGTGAACCCCACCCTCCCCCTCGGAAATCCTGGGGGGTAGAGGTAGGGTTCGCATGTGGCCCCCTAGCTGGGCTGCCGTGTGCTGCTGCCGCCACCGCCGCTGCCGCTGCCACGCGCGTCTGGGGGAGCCGAGAAAGGCACCGATGCCGCTGCTCCCCAGAGCGCACAGGGCTGGGGAAGCCCAGAAGCCCAAAGGTGCCGATACCGAAAGCCCCGGGGTGCATTCTGACGAAGAGTTCGAGGCGAATCTGACAGTGGCGACGATGGCCTCCCAGGAGGCCGAGAAAGGATGGGTGGAGGTACGGGTACCTTTTCCTCCTCTGGGCTTCTGTCTGGTAGCGCCGCCGATGCCCCACCAGGACGGAGTCCCAGCTCTCGACGTACGCCTTCCAGACTTTCTCGGCCTCCCCGCCGTGCTTGGGCGCCTTGGCGAGGTCCGCGCCCCAGAGGCTCCTGACGTGGTTGTTCGTGTTGAGGTGGTTCTCGAAGACCTGCCGCACGGGCGGACCCCTGGGATCGCTCGCCTCTGGGGTGCCCCTTGCCAGTGGGGGGCCAGAGGAGGAGGAGGAGGAGGAGGAGGAGGAGGAGGAGGAGGAGGAGGAGGAGGAGGAGGAGGAGGGGGGAGGGAGGAGGAGGGAGGGAGCAGGAGGCAGGAGGGCGACTGGGGCAGAGAGGACGAGGAGGAGGAGTGGGAGTGGAAAACCCGCTGGCACCAGGCAGGGCCAGGACCGAGCCGACGGCGGGAGGCAGCCAAAAATCGGGGCGCGGGGGACCGCGGAGACCTCCCGGGGAGCCCGCGCGACTGCCTGGAGGCTGCCTCGGGCGCCGCGGCCGCTCGGCAGAGGCCTCCGGCTTCTCTCCTCCCCGGGCCTGCCCGCAGCCGGCCGTCGCTCGGCCGCCTAGTTTCTCCCCGTGCACTGCTCGGCGCCGCGCGCGCACTGCTGCCTCGCAGGATGGCCCTGGCCGGGGGTGGGAGAGGTGCACGTCGGAGCGCCGCCAAGGAAGGGAACGCCGCAGCGAGGGAGCGCAGGGGCCCCCTGCGGCGGAGAAGAAGCACACCGAGGCGTCGGCGGGGCGGCGGCGCGGCGCGCCCCCGACGGCCGGCCGGCCTGGTACCACATGTCGTGTTTGGAGCACGCCCTGCAGTAGTACTTCTGGTCGCGGATGCCGATGCCTTCCGGCGGCCAGCCGACGGGGGGGGGGAAGCGAGAGAGCAGGAACTCCACCACCATGATAGCAAGAAGAAGCACCCCGACACGCGAGGTCGTCCAGCAAACGCACCCAAAGAAAGGAATCAAGCAGGGCAAGGCTGTTTAGTAAACGCCATGCCAATGATCGGGTCCGGGTGTTTTTCTACCTCGTGAAGTGAGAAGGAGCAGGCCTTCCCCGAAGGCGGCGGCGCTTCTCAGAAGTCCCCCCCGCCTTCTGAGAAAGAGGCCCGCCCCGTCTCGCTTCGTCCCCCAGGCTCGCTGCCGAGCCCGGGCCGCGCAGGCGGGCAACGGACCCCCCTCCGCCTGCCTTCCAAGTCGGAGCCTGGAACGGACGAGCGGCCAGGCCTGCCGCCCCCTACAGTGGTGTCTCGACGTGCCAGCGCGCACGCCCTGGCCTGGCCACGTTCGAGTGTAACCCCAGAAAGGGCACCGAATGCTTTCGCTGGCAACGGCGATCGTCAAGGATAATTCACGTGTTCCGCGCGGAGCTGTGCGCGTCCACCGCAGCATCAACAATCACAACAACAACAACAACAACAACAACAACAACAAGCACAGCAACAACCACACCAGCAACAACAACAATAACAAGAACAATAGCAAGAACAACAACAACTACAGCAGCAGCAACAACAACAACGACAACAACGACAACCACCACAACGACAACCACAACAACCATTATCACAACAACAACAATAACAACAACAGCAACAACAACAACAACCAAACCAACAACAACAACAACAACAACAACAACAACAACAACAATCACTTTACCCGAACGCTCAGTGTTCTCACCAGTGCCAGGGTTTTCATGCGACGCCAGCCAATACCCCCACTTTGTGGGGGGGCAGTGCAAGCTCTACCAAATATCCACACGACTCTTCGCCACCACCCACACCCAGCTTCCCGCCCTATGACGTTCGGACACTTCACTTCGTGGCCTGCGGACGACCGTGGCTACTACACTGGCGTGGAGTACACACCCACAGAAGTTGTTAAGCCTACGTTCGTACACCCACAGAAGTTGTTAAGCCTTGTTAACCCACAGAAGTTGTTAAGCCTTCCACAGAACATCTGTTGCATATGGTGCATGATTTTATGATGCGCGGTGGTAAAATTCTTAAGAACCCAATGGTTTTTGGAGATTTCGGCGTGCGCGCGCGAAGAAAAAACGAATGTGTCCCGCATGGTATTATTTGACAGGGATGATGGCCCTGGCAGGTGCGCAACCGTTGTCGCAGAAGTTCGAAAAAGTTGCTCGCAAAAGCCCGTTTGACAGAAATGTTTAAAAAGTGTTGGGTTTCCTACGAATCCGCAAGAGCGCGCGGGATGAGATTTTGACATTTTTTTGTTGAAAAACCATTGGTTTTTTGATGTTTTTATGTTAAAATCGCTCCGAACACTAAGCTTTTGGAAGGATTTCGTCTTGCGCGCGCGAATGTCCACTTTACCTTATTTTTTGCAAGGGATTCTTGAAATTTGATTATATTAGAACAAGAAATGTCATTTTATAGTGTTTTTTGCAAGGGAAAGCGGGGGGGAACAAAACAACCGGATCTTGATCACATCGAATTACCTGAGGCTTCCTCACGAAAATGATGAAAATGTAGCTGCGGCCTAGGCGGCGCAGGGGGGCCGTGCACCAGGGGCCCCAACAATAATTATTCTTTAGAATAAATAATGTTCAACAACAACAACAACAACAACAACAACAACAACGACAACAACAACCGCAGCAGCAACAGCAACAGCAACAACAACAACAGCAACACACAAACGGCAAACAGACTAATACAAATGCAAACCACTACAGGAGAAAACAAAAAAAACAGCAACAACAGCAGCAACAACAACAATCATGTTAAGACTGTTCGTTCTGATCTGATCACGTGCCAAACAATACTTCTATACCAAGCCCTCGGTACCCGCCCTCGTCGTCTTCGATCGTACCCCCCTGGGGGCATGTCTTCCTTACCTGCCACGCGCATGTAGTGCAGTCCCTGAAGCAAGGTAAGAGTAGAAGGGTGAAAGGGGAGGGAGAAGAATGGAGTACGAAAGAAATGAGCAGGAGGGGGGCAAGGAGCAGAAAACAAGTGGTAGAACCAGACGGGCGAATCGGGCGGGCAGACCTATAGCGGGCAGGTCGGGAAGGCGAGCCCAGGCGACGAGGTCGAGCAGGCGGGTTGCTGAAGCGTGGGTCCTGCATGAATCGCGAGGAAGTCCCGAGCGATAGCGCGATTCCCTGGTAAATCGTGAGAAAAGCCAAAGCGATAGCGTGATTCCTGAGCGCCGAGGGCGCATCGTCTATATAAAGTGTGAGGAAGTCCCACGCGAGAGCGCGATTCGTATACAAACTGTTTTGAATTCCCACGCGAGAGCGCGATTTGGGAATTGATTGTGAGGAAGTATCAGGCGGGAGCCGCTGTTGTTATAAACGGGGGGCCAACAAGACAGTTTGACCCTCGAGACTTTTTCTAATACAAAAAGAAAGTGCGAGCCCCGGGGGGGGCACTTCAATTGAAAAATACAGTGGCCACAATGAGAATCCAACAACAAAAACAACAACGACAACGACGACGACGACGACGACGACGACGACGACGACGACGACAACAACAACAACAACAACAGCAGCAGCAGCAGCAGCAGCAGAAGCAGCAGCAGCAGCAGCAGCAGCAGCAGCAGCAGCAGCAACAACAACAACAACAACAACAACAACAACAACAACAATCATTTTACCCGAACGCGCGGTGTTCTCCCCAGTGCCAGGGTTTTCATACGACACCAGGCAATACCCCCACTTCGTGGGGGGGCATTACAAGCTCTACCAAATATCCAAACGACTCTTCGCGACCACCCAAACCCAGCTTCCCGCCCTATGACGTTGGGACACTTCACTTCGTGGCGTGCGGACGACCGTGGCTACTACACTGGCGTGGGGTACACACCCACAGAACTTGGTCACTTATTCGGGGCGCGCATGTGCCCAGCATGGTGCAATTGTGCCATACAATACATAATACAGAGAGACAGAGAGAGAGACAGAGAGCAGACAGAGAGAGAGACAGAGAGAGCGGAGTTGGTCACATTTTTGGGTCAAGTTCCTGGGATGATGGGAATACACAACTCTGTTACATTTGATAGTGTGCACGACACACATGAGATGATACGTACTCGCAAGATAGTTGGTCACATTTGTGGAATTCCTGGGCGGATGTGGGGATACACATACAGTGGTGGATCCAACTGTCGGAGCGCCCCGCATAATTTGAAAGGTGTATTATACTCGATGCCCAGGTGGCGGATGGCAGAACCGTGCTGCTCCTCCAGCTCCTGGGCGCTAGAAATACTAACCTTGCCAGGCACAACCCGATACTTGCCCCACCAAGTCTTGCACGCCTGGTGACTGACCTGGATACCCTTTGCAACGAGCGCCTGATGCAAATAATACGGGCTCTCGCAGTCGGCCAAGGGAGGCCGCGACAGCTCCGGGCCATACTGCTCGTCAAGGGCTTTCGCCGTCAAAGCCATGGACCATCCAAGAACACAGGCGATACCTTGATCCGAGATGGCTACGGATGTGCCAGTGATCAGTCGGAGGCTTCCTGGGGCCGCTTGGGGTCCTCTTGGGGAAGGGGGGAAGCCTCCTGGCGCCGCTTGGGGTCCTCTTGAGGGGCTTCTTGGAAGCATCTTGGGGCCTCTTGGGGGCTTATTGGGTCCTCACGGCGGGCTCTTGGGGCCTCTTGAAGGCCTCCTGGGGCAACCTATGGCGCAACCAGTAGGGGGACGTTTTATTCTCGGCGGCCGAGGGCGCAACCTATGACGCAACCAATAGGGGGGCGTTTTATTCTCGGCGGCCGAGGGCGCAACATATGGCGCAACCGCAAGGGATTCTGGCCCCTGGCAGGCGCGCGAACCCCGTTGCAAGAGCGTGCGAAAGTAGCTCGCGCGAGCTCATGTAACATAAATGTTGGAAAACCATTGGTTTTTTTAGGATTCGGACAGCGCGCGCGGGTGGAAATTTTGAAAAGTCGTGCAGGTGTTTTTCGAGGACCTACGGTGCGATTCGTGTGATTTTATGATGCGCGGTGCTAAAATTCTTAAAAACCCAATGGTTTTTGGAGATTTCGGCGTGCGCGCGCGAAGAAAAAACGAATGTGTCCCGCATGGTATTATTTGACAGGGATGATGGCCCTGGCAGGTGCGCAACCGTTGTCGCAGAAGTTCGAAAAAGTTGCTCGCAAAAGCCCGTTTGACAGAAATGTTTAAAAAGTGTTGGTTTTCCTACGAATCCGCAAGAGCGCGCGGGATGAGATTTTGACATTTTTTTGTTGAAAAACCATTGGTTTTTTGATGTTTTTATGTTAAAATCGCTCCGAACACTAAGCTTTTGGAAGGATTTCGTCTTGCGCGCGCGAATGTCCACTTTACCTTATTTTTTGCAAGGGATTCTTGAAATTTGATTATATTAGAACAAGAAATGTCATTTTATAGTGTTTTTTGCAAGGGAAACGGATTACAACAAAACAACCGGATCTTGATCACATCGTATTACCTGAGGCTTCCTCACGAAAATGATGAAAATGTAGCTGCGGCCTAGGCGGCGCAGGGGGGCCGTGCACCAGGGGCCCCAACAATAATTATTCTTTAGAATTAATAATGTTCAACAACAACAACAACAACAACAACAACAACAACAACAACAACAACAACAGTCATTTTAAGACTGTTCGCCCTTATCTGCTCGAGTGTCCAATTACGCGTATTTACCAAATTCTCGATATCCGCCCTCTTCGTCTTCGATTGAACCCTTTTTGGGGGGTATACCTTTCTTCCCTGCAGGCCGGGCCCCAGCAAGCGGCGGGGCGGCCGCGGACCGTCGGCCTGGCCAGCGGCGGCGCTGATCGGATGGGCGGCCGCGAACCGTCGACCCGACCCCAAGAGGGACCGACAAGGG